CAATTTAGTGGGTCGTAGGATTGATTGGAAAAGGGTTGCAAGGAGCAGCTCAAGCTGAAGCTGTGCATTAAAATTCCATATACGGGCATGATTGCGAGCAAAAGATTAATAGCCGGAAGCTGAACAATGGAGATTTTGGCGTGCACAAAGAACAGACGCTTGAAAAGGCCAAGTCAAATTAAAGGCATACTTCCATGGCAGGAAATTTTGGAGGCAGTATTTTGGCGGTTTGCTTTTATGGACATTTGAAGATTGCTTGTAGTAGCTTGGCGTTTTGCGTAGTAACCTGACACTTGAGAAGCCTATACAGCGAGTTTTTTTCTAGAATTTCCACATTTTATCCTTCATTTCTCAAGTGTTGACAAATATGGGTTTCACATTTTGGTATTTTAGTATTCAGTTGGTTTTTCAGCCATTGAAGAGACAAGAAAAGAAGATCGTTCGTGGAATGGGCAGGCCGTTTAGAGGCATGGTCGCAGGCATGGCAGGGGTGAGTGTTCGTACTTGTTCATGGCACAACTTAACACTTTATTCTACAAAAAAAATTAGAAAGAGACGAATCCTCCTGCTGTTTTGGGTCAAAAGGTTATGTTCGTTATGAGGATTATTATAAAGATCTCGCTTTTTCATGAGCGGATTTATGCACTTATGCACTGGTCCTAGGCTGGTGTCAGAGTCCGCAGTCCGTCGCAGGCTTCGCGCGTCGCGCGACGGACCACAGAAATCACAAGTGCCCGATCAATACTGCAAGGTGTTCTCCAATCCGCCGCCATTTCTGCTTGATGGTGATGGCTGAATGACGACTGCTCATGATTACTTGTTTCATATTCAGTGTTTCAAATGTTCAAATGGGCACTTGCAATTTTTGCGATTCGCGCGAATCGCGCGAAACCTGCGACGGGTCGCGGATTCTGACACCAGCCTTACGTAGAAACAGCTATTTTGGGAGTTTCTAGCATATTAGAAAAATTTAAGTAATGATTTTTATTCTAGCGCCCAATGCGAGGTGGACCCATGATGATGAACCATGGATATGGCAGGCCGGTCCCATACGGGATGGGGCCAATGGGCGGTGGTTTCGGTAATAGACCTATGCCATTCGCGGGTCCAATGGGATATGGGCCTAATGACCAAAACATCAGTTTCTTCAATACTCCACAACCTGTGCCTCCTCCGGTACGTTAATTTCCTGCTAAAGTTACTGAGATTGTCCGTTGTGATGGTGTTTCCTCACAAAGTATTGCTTGGACTCAGATAACAGCAAATATTTTCTTATGAAAGCAGTGTGTTTCGCGTCGATAGCGAGCGCTTTTGCGACATTTTTGATAGCGCAAACAATAGCGTAAATTTTTATAAGAAAATCAGCTCGGTTTTGAAAATGCGAGCGCTTCTTGCATGACAACGTAAAATTGAAATAGGGCGTGCGATGCAGCATTTTTGTGTGTTCTATCGTTGTTACATTGTGACAAACCACTTTTATGCTCTTATGTTTTTGGTCCTACGTGCTGTTTTGATTGCAATTTTTAATCTGGTTCTGATTTTAGAATGTAATTACGTGGCAGGCTTCTTCGTTCGTGCAGAGCGCCAATTTTGAGAGTTTAATTAGAGAAAGCCATTTTGCGACGGCGGAACGAAGAACATTAAGCACAGTCTTTGGTGCTGGGAGAGGAGTTTTCTCGTCTTATTTTCAAGAGAGCCCAGACTCTCGTTTAGTTGATCAGTGGGGTAGTATTATTTTTATTGTGATGTCGAAAACGGAATTTTGATGATGTTTCTGAGTATTTATGGCTTTTGTAAAGATAGAGGGGAGTAGTAACTTGGAACTACCTCTCCTTGAGCTTACTTCAATCACTGCATTGTCATGGTTTACGTGGTGCAGTTGTTCCAACTAATTGATTACTTAGATTGAAAAGTTTGCTCGTCTCTGAACAAAACGAGCGAATTCGCCATTAAAATCAGTTTCTTCGGAAAGTCGATGATCGACAGTTTGTTTGGTTTACGAGCACACTAATTGCTCTGAGAAGATAAAAGGAAGCATGATGCAAGACGAAGATGTGTTCTTATTCTGCGACTTTTCCAGATGGGCGACGCTAGGACAGGTCAAATGCAGTCAGGTCTAGTTCATTTCCCCCTAGATGTTCAAAAAAGATTTATTTGAGCCAACAGGAGCATAATTTTTTATGAAATCGATTAGCACATTTCGCTTTGCAAAAGTAATCACACGTGATTTCCAAATGTTGTGAACTAAAATTTTCTTCCCTGTTGGCTCCTCTTTCGATAATAGCTCGTTTCAAATATTGAAAATTTTTCAGTCATAAGTAATTATGCATGCGGCATCCGTTCTACAATTGTCATTGTTCACGTATATTTTAGGTCAACAACAGGCAACTCCATCAGCAACTACAGTGGGAAAAGGAACAGTAGGAGGACAAGGCACAACGGTGAGGATTGGTTTTTCGGTATACCACTTCATTTCGCGGTTAACACATTGAGGATATTGAGACGCGGTTTTTTTAGCAGAAGTTTTTTTAAGCACAGCGGAATTGGCAGCTTGGTTCATCCTCGTTTTCTTCCTATTCTGATGAACATGTCAGTGAGAAAAGGTAGTGAAAGTAAATACAAACTTAAAGGGATAGAAAGATATATGTTTCACTTGACACATCCACATCGAAAATAGTTTTGGCATCCACTACAGAGAAAAGGACTTGAATTCCAATTTTCTTTACCATTTCACGTTTTTTGATCGGATTTCGCTTCTTATGAATTGAATATTGCTGAAATGGTTTCGTACCTTTGAATTCCCAAGGTTATCGTTCGAAATTTACGGGTGTGAGGTGTGACGGCGCGCTCGCAAAAGCGCCCTTGTCCCACGCGGTGCAAAAACCCAAAACGCGCGATTTCGTCAATGTGTTAATTTTGTGTTTCCGTTTTATCGGAAGAGGAGCTGATATCGTCCCAATTTGTAGCAGTGACAGGAGGGTATGGGTAGTTTGAGATTCATATAGGGTTACATTGGAAGCTGATAAATTTTAAAGATGTTCAGAAGGGGTGAAGTCCTAGATATTGCGTTGGAGATGTTTAGTAGGCGAATGCAATTCTTGTGTTTTGTTTTGCTCATATATTATCATATGGTGGAACCATGAAGAACGAGAGTAAAGATTTCCACTTTGCTGGGGCAGCTTCCATAATTCAAGCTTGAGTGGAGTGCACGAAAAGTGCGAGAAGTATTGAAAGCTTCTCAAAATTTTGTGGCGTCGCCTCATTGGATACCCAGGCGTCGCGTTTTGCAAGCAGTCAGAGGTGTTAATTTAATGGTGATAACATAATAACGATGTTTGGTGGAGGAAGAAGGCTTCCCTGACTGCCCACTAACATACGACGGAAGGGCATAGCGAGATTTGCCGGGGATTCTAGACGCTTTGAACAATGAAGGGTCCATCATATTTTTTTTTCAGAACAACCAGACTGAATCAAACAATACGAATCAAACAAACAAATCAAACACTTCAAATGAAGTTCCAGGATTCGGAGCAAACAGCAGCATCCATGAACTATTTGGTATGTTGTTTGGCATTTATTGGGAATCTGAACGAATCTGCAGGAGAAACGATCGTGTTTTTCTTTTCCAAATCTTCCTTACAACTTTTAGAAGCGCGGGAAGAAGACCAAGAGGGTTGCATAGAGATTTTGCATACTGAGCCCGCGCTAGTTCCATGAGTAGCGGCCACGATACTGTTGCGCCTGTGCGAACCTCACGACTGTCTCATTTGAAAAAGGACCGATTTGAGAGACGTTCAGCTGCTGGTCTGCTTGCGTGAAGTAAACGAAGTACATCAGGAGGGGAATTAGTCAGCATCGCGGGCACCTGTTGATAATCCTTTCTATAGTTCCGACCCCAACAATACGTAGTTAGAATGAAAGTGTGCGGGAGGGAATAAATAAAATGAATATGTTACCCATTCACCGTCACGAAGCTGATCAGAGATTTTCTGGATCGGCGACATCCTGCGAACGGATAGCTTTAGTACAAGGTCCTCGATCTTTGTTCACTTCGCAATACGAAAAGTGGTCGACATTGAAGTGACAGTCGTGCAAAAATGCTTGCATTTTAAGAGGTCCAAATTCTTAGTATTATATATGCGTAAAATAAATCATCAATGCTGAAATTATGTTTGGCTAGCACAACATTCGCATCATTTCGGTCCCGACCATCGCATAGGAACGAAAGCCATAGAGAGACACTGGGGGTTACGAGCAAAAATTACCTGCAAAGGCGCCTTACTAAAATTTGCATATTGTTTAACCTTTATACGTTCATATTTGTGAACTCGAGTTGTTGATGTTATTTTTTGCAAGAGCAACCTTGGAAGTATTTTCAGGTAAAATGGTCTGGAAGAAAATGGAAGGTATTCGAGATGATGCGGTTATTGACCGACTTCAGAATCGTATAATGAATTTGATTCATGAAGCTCTTGCCCAGCAAAATGAGCAGTCAAACGGAAGTGAGTTGAATTTTCGCTATTCCATTATTTGTCATGAGGTTTAGTTTCTCCTAAGCATCATGCCGATCTGAATAGACGGGAAAGCCCAAAGTTTTCTTCAAGAAAAATTTTTTACGTGCCTAGCGCATAGTTATCCTTCTTCGCCTCAACCTCAATGGTACTTATCACAAAAAAGCAACCAAGCAAGCAGGGGAATAACAGCCTTCTATCGGCTCTGATTTTTTGTGCAAAATTGGAATTAGAGCACTCCATACACCAAAATTGTCCCTTCTTTTAGCGTTTATTCCATTGTCCTGATGTTGTCTCATTTATCTGATAAATTGTATGTTTAGGCGGAGGATCCAACCAGAACTCGTCCGCAAAGAACGACCAGTCGGGAAATTTCAGATCCTACTAATTACGAGGCGTGTATCTCTCATACAGTAAAATTCCGAAGAAGGCATCAGTTTTTTGCAAGTGTTTACCATATTTTCTGGTTACTTGCTTTCATAATAATTTACCGTTTTTGATAAATCCGTTGTTGTGAAGCTGTCGTAATCTGTGTGCTTCATTCATGATCTGAAAGAATGAAACGCTAGCATTTCTATTAATTCGTCTTCCTCTTGTTGACACATGTTTACACATTAACGTAGGGTTTTGGTTGGTTAAAATCTCTGTGTTCTTTGTTGTAACTGTTGTTTCACTTCGATAAAATCGTACATTTAGTTCAGTTCGTGGAGTGGTATCTGTCTAATCAATGCTGTACATTTTTACCTTCTTACCTGACTATTACACTTTCATTTTTCTCATATGTTGAAAAAGAAATATTAAGCCAATGGCGGACACGGAGGGTGGTGCAGCTGCAGTCACGACAGATTCATCCCTAAATGCGACGATAAAGCAGGTGAGCCTTTTTCTTAGTCTCTGAGACATTCAATTTAAGCAGGTGTAAAAGATAGATACAAGGTCTGTAGGCTGTTAGAAGTAGTGGTAGCGTAGATAAGTGATTCTCTTATGGGTGGGCTAGTACATGTAAACCTGGGAAGTAAGTGGATGGTTGGAACTGTTCAAATGTGTTTTAGGAACAGTCAACTGGTCAGAGAAATGGTGGAACTGTGAAAGTTGAGGACGTTAGTACAGTGGTGGGGGCTATAAAAGGCTATACAGGACACAGATAACATTTGTTTATGGTGTATTTTTAGCACTCTGCTCCTCCCTCTTACTATAACGGCGCAGGCTCAGATGAAGCGACCGCAGCCGCCACAACCTCCAGCAAAAGTGTTCTTCGCTCCGCAGAAATACGGTTTTTTCACCATGAACAATGTTGAACAGCGATGGGTTAGTCATTTTGACTTTTACTATTTTCGTGATTGTTCTCTCCGTACTTTTGCATCATCTTTACCCTATCTTCAGATTTATTTTTGTTCTTGCAATTAGCGATGGTTTTGTATTTGATTCGTCGCTTTCGACTTTTTTTCCTCATTTTACTTTTATTTGTTTCCGTTATTTTAGCTTCTTTACTCCGTTGTTATTTTATAGAGAGATGATCCCGACAAAGAGAAAAAATCTCAGGCAGATGATATAATCGCAAATGTTACAGGTTATTTGAAATGAATAAGTTGTTTTTTGTTTTTATTATTTTCTTATTTTAACTACTATATAACTTTAAGCCGACTCAATATAATTCGTACGTGTTGTTCCCATAAGAATGGCGAACACTTTGGCCTCTACGGCCACTTGCTTTTTGCGACAAACCTTATTCACTATGCTTTCCCTTGCAATTAAGGCTAAGCTATGTGGTGACCTGTCGTGGCAGAGAATTGATCTTCGCAATATTTGAAGACGATTCTGGAAATATGGGTCATCTGTCTTCCTTTTCTTTATTTTAAGCGTGGCAGAATCCGTCCACGCGCAGGGTTAAGAACTCTAGCTTTCGGCGCGGTTATTAGGGCCGCTTGACCAAATGTACTTTTTGTTACATTCGCGAAACTCAATGCACTGATGGACAAAGCGCAGTGCAATTTCAGACGGGAAATATATGAGCTATGGGAATCGAGGAAATCCATTATTAACCGCTAATTGAGTGGCACAAAATGAGGTGGATGGGCCTTATCATACTTTGCAATTCGTATTGAATTAGGAGGTGGAGTGGATGCGTATTGACCATGCGGTTCAGCGATTGCGCAAGATTGCAATGTATGTACCTACTACTACCCGAGCCTGAATTTAATTTGTTCACAAGCTGTTCGTAATTCAGATGATGTACGCGCTACGCCGCTAACGCCACGTCGCTTCAATGCTCAGATTCTAGTCCCCACCTGTAGAAATCGCCCACATGTGGGATACTCATCTCACCTTTTAGAAGAGTGTTATGTCAGCAGGCACCGTCGTTAGCATTTTACAAAAATGACAAGAACGTCGTCACCAGTATTACATCCTCAATGTGATACTATTTAGAAAAGTTCTTCCCTGGAGCGAAAAGAGCTGCTGAGCCAATTCCACCAATGCACTCAGCTCCCCCGTTCATGCCCGCGCCACCAGGGGTTAGTTTTATTTTTCTCTATTAGCAAGTTGTTTTTTTTTTCTGCGAAATTTTTAGTGGATGAAACTTTTTTTGTGTAGAATGTCAATAATAATGGTTTATTGATCAAATGAAACTCACTAGAAGTTGTTTTTATTCGTTTAGGGTCTCAATATTGTTACCAATCTTTTAGGTGGGCTTGCTAATTTGGCAGTACTGCATTGGTGCGAGAAGTTAATTTTGAGAAATTCTAGAGGCCAATTCTTTGAGTCGTCAGGCTTTGTTCGGGATTTCTTTGATGGTTTCTTTTCACAAACTTCCACTTTATTATAGATGCCAGGAATTCCACCTCCGCCATTCATGATTCCTCCGGCTCCCAATGCTCCACCAAAGGACGCTAAAAGAATCAAATTCAATGACGAGGACAGTGATGAGAATGAGCTGTTTGGTAAGGATCTGCGCACAGGTTTGGCTCCGTGTCTTTGTTCAGAATATTGGAAAATATGCTTTTCAGCAAAACTGCTCTATAAGAAGTTGAAATCAATTGCAAGCCGCAAGCGTCTAGAGATTCTACATGTTTCCATAATGGAAATGGTAAGACAAGCACAGGAAGAAGACGAAAGAGAAAGGGGTGTGGTGAATACTGCTTCTATTCCGGCTCCTCCGCCGTCCACGAACTGAATGCATAAATACCAATGGGTTGTCGCCGTAGTTCAGGCATTCCTTTCATTTTAACATGGTTAATTTATTGTTCTCATTATTTCGCATGTGAAGTTTAAGTAATAGTGCAGTATTTACTATTTTTACACTTTGAAGTTGTCTAGCTATGTCTTGTCGTCTCGTCAATCAATGAAGTTTTGTTTGTATATTATTCGCACACGCATATTGGACCTTATGCAAACGCCTCTCTAAACAGTCCTTATCAAATACGCAAGGGTCAGGCTCAGTTACTGCAAGAACGATGACCGCTGTGATAGATGAGGATTGATAGCAAGTGGAATGCTCCACCTCTTTCACACCAGTCGGCCGCGGCAAACATCCCATCTCAGAATCGATTGCTCTCTGTGTAGATCCTTAGTTTCATTTTCTTATTCCATCGGATCGTATCCCTATAGGGTCACGCTCGTCCAACCATTCACTATCTCAGCCTTTATCTCTACCCTTTTCGTCGGTGAGGTGTGGAAGACTTCTCCACTTCTAAGCAAGCGCAACCGTTTCCATTAATGTATTCTAGCCTTCTAAGGGCTTCAAATGACGCGATATCTATATTTAATAACATTTGTGTCAATTGCTTTGTATAGTGGCTCATCATCTGCTTTGTCTAAAGCCAAAGGTGCTAGGTGAGTTAATTACTAAGGGTATACTCACTCTTCGCAGCTAGACTTGTCTTGTTTTCAGAACTGGAACCTCATTCAGCGTTGATTATGAGCACGATCGATTTGTGTTAGATGGTGAACCTTTTCGGTATATATCCGGATCAATTCATTATTTCCGTATTCATCCTAGTCAATGGAAAGACAGGTGAATTCATTATAACCACCAGCAGAATTTTGGCGGAAAACGGTTTTTTCTAAGTTTGTCAAGGAATCCGTGACCGCTACCATAGTTCAGTCTTGTTTTTTAGTCGGTTTTTTTTCTGTTGAACACCTCTAAAGTGCATCAAAAAGATGAGAGGAATGAGCGTAATCGTAGCGTTTTTTACGTGAAAGTCTGTACTGGTTTATAATCAATGAGAAACACTTGAGTGATATGTTACGGCGGTTAAGTAGAGGTTTAACGGTTTATGTTGTTCAACGTTTTTAATCATTTCTGGAATTTTCAATAGAATGAACGGGTTTTTTTTGTCTAGGAATGGGAAGCCCTTAGCAAGTTTGGGGGCGTTTGAGTAGAGTTTACGCGTTTATTTATTCACTTTTTTAATTACCAGATTAGTCCCCCGTCAACCGCCGGGACCTTCCTTTCCTGCGCAAGCTTTCTATCCTCCGCTATGGTCCCTTCCTCCTGTGACACCAACACCTGGAAGTGACGCGTATGCAACACAATGGTGTTTCATACAGTAGAAGGGACACAATCATGATATGACGGTAGATTTTTCGCTTCCCTTCCTCATCCTCCCTTCCTCTCTCCACTGCCCTCCAGCTGCCACTGCAGCACCATGTGGAATGAACGGAAGTGTGCTAAGCAGGTGTTTATATAGCCCTGAGAGTGTTATCACAACTATCTACAAAACATTGATATCTCAAATCCTGTAAGCTACCCGATTTGTTAGCGGTTTGTTTATCCCATGAGCTTCCTTCTCACTCACTTCATTTTGCGGACGGACACACATACACACACACACACACTCACACACACATACAGATACACAAACCGACACACAAAGTTAGCGCTTTATAAAATAGAAGGATTTCTTAAATTTTATAGAATTGAAAACGAATTTTTTGCTAGAATGGTGGCTAAT